CTAATTTGCATATTAAAGTGCTGTTGGGACAGCATGTTGAAAAAAGAAGTGTAATAATGGGAGTAATATTTGACAAGATTTTCATAATAATATATAATATTTCATAGGAATATTGAAATATAATTTCTTTCCCATTTCTCCCAAAATGCGTAATAAACATGCTTTTAGTCCCCGTGTCCTCATATGAGGACATGTATGAAATCAACGTCCGGTTTCGTAACAGAAAGTCATATTTTGATTTGAAACCCCGTAACATTTTCCTGAGATGTTGATTTATGACACACAGTTTAAAAATTAGTCAGATTTAAATGATAATTACAAAATATTATCATATTTCCATAAGAGTGTCACTAAATTAATATCAGACATTTTTGAAGACCAAGGAGAGGGAGTGGTCATGGTGAAACATCCAAACATTTAGTATCTCTGAAAAGCCCTGAATGTGCTCTGTACAGGACATCCAGACTGTGGCATGTATAGTCTCAGAGAAATTCACTAAAATATAATGTCCTCATATGAGGATGCAGGGTCTCAGGAGGTTAAGGCAGAAAGTGACATATTACCCGAAAACCAAAAGGAAAAAATGATAAACTTTATAAAATGAAGTCTATTATGAGACCATTTTGTAATCAGTAACAAGAAAAAATGAATACTGTCAAATCGAGTAATCGCATCCGAAATAAAAGTTTGTGTTGTATGTGTGTGTATTCATATATACATATAAACATACACAGTACACACACACATATATTATGTAAACGCAAACTTATATTTTGGATGCGTTAATCACGATTAATTGATTTGATAGCACAAAAACAAAATTCATTCTAATTGTCTATAATCTGTTATACTTTTGAGATTATTTTGAGAATAATTCTCATTATTGCCTAGGTTTATTCTCATTACAGTAGTACAGTAATATGTTTTATTGTATCACAGTAAAAAAAAGTATTTAAATCAGCATAAAACATGAAACTGAAATTATGCATACATTAAACCTTAAATATGAATATATTATTGGGTAACACTTTATTTTAAGGAGCAATTCTCACTCTTAACTAGCACGCATATTACTAGCATATTAGCTGTTTATTAGTAGCCTGCTTATATATGTCTTATTCTGCATGATCATATTCTAGATCCCTTAATCCACCCCATACAACTTAACAACTACCTTACTAACTATTAATAAAAAACACATTAGGAGTTATTATTGGGGCAAAATTCGGTTAATAGTTAGTTAATAGTGGAAATTGGACCTTAAATTAAAGTGTCAAGTCAAGTCACCTTTATTTATATAGCGCTTTTAACAATACAGATTGTGTCAAAGCAACTGAACAGCATTAATTAGGAAAATAGTGTGTCAATAATGCAAAAGGACAATAGTAAACACTAATTTTTCAGTTAAAGGCAGTTCATCATTGAATTCAGTGATGTCATCATCCAGCTCAGTTCAGTTTAAATAGTATCTGTGCAATCAAGTCGACGATATCGCTGGAAATGAAGTGTCCCCAACTAAGCAAGCCAGAGGCGACAGCGGCAAGGAACCAAAACTCCATCGGTGACAGAATGGAGAAAAAACCTTGGGAGAAACCAGGCTCAGTCGGGGGGCCAGTTCTCCTCTGACCAGACAAAACCAGCAGTTCAATTTCAGGCTGCAGCAAAGTCAGATTGTGCAGAGGACTCATCTGGTTCCTGTGGTCTTGTCCGGCTAGGAGACAAGGTCTTCACTGGGGATCTGTATCTGGGGCTCATCTAGTTGTTCTGGTCTCCGCTGACATTCAGGGCTGTAGAGGTCCTCTCTAGGTGCTGATCCACCATCTGGGCTGGATACGTACTGGATCTGGGTGACTGCAGTGACCTCGGAATAAGAGAGAAACAGACTATATTAGCATAGATGCCATTCTTCTAACGATGTAGCATGTACATCGGGTGTTATGGGAAGTGTTCCCGGTTCCGGTTGACCTAATTAATGCAGCCTAAGAATCCTTTAACGGATTTGAATATTAGAAATGTGTTAGTGTGTTATGTGTAAGCCAGGTTAAAGAGATGGGTCTTTAATCTAGATTTAAACTGACAGAATGTGTCTGCCTCCCGAACAATGTTAGGTAGATTATTCCAGAGTTTGGGCGCTAAATAGGAAAAGGTTGTTGTTAAAGTGTGACCTATTATTGTTTATTTTTGCATTACAATAATAGGAATCTACTGAAAATCATCACTGAGAACATTGAGAATTACACAAATAAACAACAACTTGTTATTTGGAGAGGAGCTGACACATGAGAAGGGATGTTTTGTTCTCTGTGGTTCTGTTTGTGCTGGTATTTTTTTATAGTCATGCATAAATAACAGGCATAACCGGTGTGGTTTTGCATATGTGGTTCCAGTGCAGAAGTCAAAAGCTGCAGACGTGCGCAGACGATCTCTGGCCAAGCAGACTATCGAGGACCACCGCAGGCGCTCAGTTAAAGCTCTGGAAAGAGGACGTGTAGCAGCCATGACAAAGGCCTTCGGCAGCACGAATCCAGCCCCTGCACCCAAACCCAGAAACACCAGCAACACCAGCAGTGCTATCAGCCGGTGAGTCACGTGATGCGCTGCACATCAGTGCAAGCGTCCTTCATTCGTGTGGCAGTAACTGAAGAATAAAGAAGGGCTGGTGGTTTGAAAGATCGTAATCATCAATCATAATGGCCACGTTTACATGCACATCATTTGGTAAAAAAAATGGTCAGATTTATTCTGAAAAAGTTGATATGCTATTGTTGTAATCAGCGTATTCCTCGTGAATGTCTTCTTTTCCTTCTGTTCTCTTGTGGAAATACTGGAAAGGCTTGCTCTTGACATTTATTTGAGTTCTTTTGTTATAATTCTGTAATTGTGACACTGAAGGTGCGATCAAAAGCCAAATGTAGGTCATGGGACTCTTATGGTGCTTTCACCCATCTGTATACTGATTTACGTTCATTTCCTTTAATGCCTGTATGGAATCGTTCTCCTCACTCCAGAAATGCTTTCCATTTCATTTGCACATGCAAATATAATTGAAAAGTGGATATTGTGATAAAAGTGTCTGTATATTTTAGATTATGTCAGTCATCTTATTTAGATTCAAAAAACTGAATTTTGGCTTAAATTCATGTGCATGTGAACACAATGAAACCAGGCAGTATTGAGGATATTTGAATAGTTGTGGGAATGAACATGTCGGTAAGACATCATATCAGTATTCTTTATATTTAGTATAGACACCATCATTCAGAAGTTTGGGGTCTGTAAGAGTGTTTTAAAATGTTTTTAAGTCACCAAGGCTGCATATTTTGAAAGACATTTTTTTAACAAAATGTTCAAAAGAACAGCATTTATTTGAAACGGGAATCTTTTGTAACATTATAAATGGTTTTACTGTCACTTTTGATTAATTTAATGTGTTCTTTGCGAATAAAAGTATTAATTTCTTAATTTAAATTAATCAATCAATCAATCTTACCTGTAATGTAGTGGTAAATGTTTTTTTGTTTGTTTGTTTTTGTCCTAAGTTTGAATTTTAGTGGAATATAAATTATGGAGCTTGATTTATTGTGGAATCGATAATAATATGTTTATTATTCAGGTTTGCTCTGAATGCTGGTCAGTCTGCTTTTTTTTTTTTACAAAAATATGCATGCAACTCATATATTGATCTTGATGTGAGAATATTGATTACAATATTGTGATGTAAAATATTGTACTTTGATCTTTTTTTTCACCCACCACTGCATTCAATATAAATATAATAATCTGTATAATCAGAAAGTTATGCGGGACTTTGACTCTGCTGGAATGCCGTCTGTCTCTCTTGATAGAGCTATTAATAGTGCTATATTTATCATAGCTGTATGTCACATCTTTTCATTCAGGTGTCATATTCATCTGAGGAATGTTGCACTGCAGACTGTTTGTGCAATTATGTGTTTTCACAAGGACTACCCCTCAACACATCATCTGTTGTGCAAATGTATTGCCAGTATTTCAGATTTACATCGTCCTGTTATAAACATTAAAAGATGTTTAACAGACCAAATATGAATTATGTGAAGGATCATGTTAAATATCCTTTCACAGAGCTTCAGTTCTGGGGTTGTGATGTATGGTTGTTCACCCAGGATTTTAATAAACAGGCCTAGATGAGAGTAATCTCTTATGCTGTGATTGACAGGAAGGGTGGCATGCGGCGCTCGCTGTCAGCGTCTAGTCGAGATCATATTATTCGCTGGTTCAAGGAGGAACAGCTGCCGCTCCGAGCCGGATTCCAGCGCGACCAGAGCCGCATCGCACCCTGGTTTCACGGTGAGAAAAACCACAAGACTGTATTCCTTCATTTAACTTCTAAATCTAGACCTTAAAGGGGTCATATGTTGGTGCTAAAAAGAACATTATTTTGTGTATTTGGTGTAATGAAATGTGTTTATGCGGTTTAAGGTTCAAAAACACATTATTTTCCACATACTGTACATTATTGTTTCTCCTCTATGCCCCGCCTTGTTTCACTAATATCTGTCAAATACTAGCAACATTTCTCCAAAATAAATAAATCAGTCAGAAATGTTGCACTGTAGCCATCTGCATTCATACAGCGTAAAGACTGCGTGTCAGAATGCTGCTGGGTTTCTCATGCTCCCTGCAGGCAGGGGCGTAGATTACGCGGGGGACGCGGGGGACGTGTCCCCTCACTTCTGAAATGATGGCTACGCTCCTGCCTGCAGGTATAATATCTCGTGAACAGGCAGAGGCGCTGCTGAACGAGGGCGAGCCTGGGTTCTTCCTGGTGCGTGTCAGCGAGAGGATCTTTGGATATGTGCTTTCCTACCGATCCAGTGAGGGAATCAAGCACCTGCTGATCGATGCTTCAGAGAACTGCTACATGCTGCTGGGAGACCAGATCAGATTCAGCTCGCTCACTGAACTGCTGGAATATCATCAGGTAAATGTGCTATACGTCACGCACTGGTCCTGGGGAAACGGGTTCATCTGGGCCAGAAGAATCCCAAAGCGGTTCTGCATTTTATTTCTTCAGGTGCACACATAAAAATAAAAAAAACTTTGTAAGTGTTGTCTTTAGTAGTAGATCTTGGCATAGGCACGGGACAGCTCTGAAACGCACACTTTTTTCCCATTTTAATATTCTATTTTTTCTTTACAGATTATATTAGCATCGTAAATGATTGAAAATGAACGTTTTTTGCTTTATTGACAGCAGCACTCAAAATGGCCTGGTTGGACTGTAATAGACTCATATTTGAAATGTACTTGTAATTTTAGTACATAACATAACACAGTAGTTATGCAGTCTGAACAGTATAATATTATTACATAAACAAAATATGATTTAAAATGGTGTTAATAATTCATGTTCAGAAAATAAAATGAGTATATTTATGAATTATTATTATTTACAAATGTGACCGGATTTACATAAAAAATAAATTCACAGGTGTCTTCACACATTTAATGTTTTTACATTTATGAACTGATTGTTGGTTCTACATTTTCACATCTCCACACATTTGAGGATTTGTGGCAATCGTTCTACAGTTATGTTCAACTCTGACTTATCATGTCACATTAAAATGATTATAGATTATATTATAGGTATTTTAGAGAATAAAATATAGAGAACACTGTACACAGTAAATGTATTGCATTTGCAGTGAATCCATAAATTATGTACTGTATGTGGAATAAAGGAGATGCTCCTACGACCCACAGAGATCTGTTACGACCATGAAGTCATTACATTTCAACAGACCGGGGTCACGCTGAGCACATTCCATACACAAGACATACTGTACAACATTCACATCCAACACAAATCACTGCACAATTATTCATTATTGTTATTTACACATTTGTGTCTCTTTTCAATCCGCTGCATTCCTTTCCTCTTGATTATTTTATTTCTTTGTATTCCACTGTAACAAAATGAAGACAACATATCCTGCACATTTTTGCTCTCCTGATTTAATTTTCACAATATCCCACGAATAATTCTCTGGAATGCATTAAGAATCTTTTGTTGTTCTCCCCAAACCCTCACGTCTCAAGTTTGTTTTCAAATGGAGGCTTTAAAATGTAATTGTCTCCCTTTTCACTTCTAATCCGGTAACACTCTAGTATAGGGACCAGTTCTCACTATTAACTAGTTGCTTATTAGCATGCCTATTATTAACATATTGGCTGTTTATTAGTGTTTATAAAGCACATATTCTGCATGAGCATATTCTACATCCCTAATCCTACCCAATACCTGAACTTAACAACTACCTTACTAACTATTAGCAAATTTATTGAGACAAAAGTCGTAGTTAACGGTTTGTTAATAGCGAGAATTAGACCTTAAAATAAACTGTGACCACCAATTCCTACTTGCAGTGTTTACTGGAATGTTTCTAAAGCAGATAAATACAATATTTATTGCCTATCAAAATGACAAATCATTCAATTTTCCAGTTAATTAACATTTTTGATTAAGGCAACGTATAGGGCCTTATGCAGACATATATTAGTACAGTGATATTTACTGCTGCAGAAATAGAGCTTTTTGGGGTTCACAGTCTGTTGAAGGATGAAGTAGATTAATGTCACCTCATTGTACCAGTTTTTGAAAATGTTTATTATCGATTGTTTACAGTTTAACAGAAGTTACTCCCATAATTCAGGCAAAGCATCATGGGGCATAGGAAAAAGGTGAATGTGTGTACTTATACCAGTCATCTCACAGTATGTTGGTTTTGAGTTGGATTGAGAGGGTGTTGGTATGTGCGCTCTACTGCCCCCCATCTCTGAAATCACAGTTTAACCAGTGTTGACAACTCATTTTCAAGTAAAGTTGCTGAAGGCATGTTGATTTGTTGCTCAAAGTTGTTAAATGACTTTGTGACCTCATTGTATGATGTCATTTTGTAACCATAATGCAAAACTAAGTAATTGCGTAGAATATGCATTGAAATTACTCAAAGCTCAGCGAAGAATATAATTTGAAATTTGTTAATTTAGATTTGTTCATCAAAATAAACATTTATAATATAATAAACTTTTAATATATATTAATTGTAAATATATATTTTTTTAAATACAACTGAATTATTGAAAAGTTACATTTTTGAACAATTACATTGTTATTTCTAAATAACTTTTTTTTTTTACCTTTATTTATATAGCGCATTTAACAATACAGATTGTGTCAAAGCAGCTTAACCGTATTAAATAGGAAAATTGTCACGTTGCTACTGTGTTGGAACGAGGAGACCAGGAGTACATCAACACAGGAGATTTTAATGTCTTTAAGGGAACCAGGAAAAACACGCGTAGCAGGAGAGGTTGACACATCCACAGGCATTCACAATACCGGACGCAGAACTCTAAACAGGAAACCAATACACAGACTAGAGGGACACAATGAGGAACACCTGAAATCAATGACATAATAAACATTGGAAACACCTGGGACAAATTAACCTAAATAGGAACAGGAAACAGGAAGAACCAAATATGGGCATAAGGAAACACGAGGGAGAACTTGTGGGAAGAAAACACAACACAACTGGAACACAAGTCTGAGATTACTCTGCCCTGGAGGCTGGTGCAGGACTGGGACACGGGGAATACCTCCAGGGCGAATCAGGCAGTCCAGGGTGCCTGAGCAGGTGCGGAGCAGGGAGCTCTGGGAGCCATGGCAGAGCAGGCAGTTCAGGAGGCCATGGCGGAGCAGGCAGGCTAGGAGGCCATGGTGGAGTAGACAGACTAGGAGGCCATGGTGGAGTAGGGAGCTCAGGACGCCATGGCCGGACGGCCTCCGTGGCCTTAGCCTCGCCACTCTGCCCAGCCACTACGGATGGACCCATGCTACCCCCCCCCCCCCCCCCCAACAC